TGATTTGTGTCTTAATGCTATGATTTGTGTATGGATCTAAGGATTCTTCAGATTTAAGTATTCAGATTTCTATTTGATTTATTTGACTTTAACATCTGGCCTGGTGATGTATGGTGATGTATGGTGGATAAATGAGACCATAATGTTAAAATTTGTTGTTGTTATTATTGCCTCTGTTACTAAATATCCACCCCAGGATAGATTCCACTTTCATGAATTTGATAGATCTGACTGCCATACTCTTTGGCTTTGTTTCTGTTGGTAAAAACTCAGACAAATAAAAACATGACACAATTATTTCTTAATTAATTTGTGGCTTTATTCAAAGGGTTTTGGGTACTTATTATGTACAAAAGATTGTAGTATGTTCTGGGACAGAGAATACTAAAATGGTCAGAGTTCTTTTTTCATGGAAACTACCCATGTAGTAAAACTTTTAAATCAATGTTTTATCAATTTCACCAATGTATCAATGCATTAGAAAATTAATAATATGTGTTGGACACATTAATTCAGTTTACAGAGAAGGCATGATGCACATATCAAAGAGAACTCTTGGTAACAGATCTATAAGACTGAAGTCATCTGTGGCCCACACTTTAATAGCTGTGTATTCAGACTGCCTGTTCCTATTATCTTTCTTTTCTTCAGGATTTATTTTGCTGACTTGGAAGTCAGTTATACCAACATTCTAGTCCCTGGGTTCAAATCAATACAATGGAACAAAACTATGTCTTGAGTCCTTGGCTGTGGAAATAACCAAAGCAGATTACACATATGTGGTCCTCCATGATTAATCAAATGTTTTCACATCAGTAATCTCATTTTTTTTTCTCTAATAATACAGGCAGGGGAGATCCTTTGAGATATTCAGAGAAGCTTGTCAGCCAGGAATGGCAGCCAGGCCTCAGGCTCCCCATCACATACCCTTTCCATTTTTTCTAAGATAACTCTGTGCTCCCACAACTGCAATAGCAATGAACCTGACCCATTGTGGAGGGGGTTGGTGTCGATAAAAAGAAATGGAAAAAGGGATTCAAGCTCATTCTCTTAGACACATACAGTGGTACCTGTTGCACATTCTTATGATCTTACAGTTCTCCCTGCTTCTCATATCTCTATTCTGATATATCCTCTAAAGTGGAGTTAATGCTTTCTGACTTTAGAACATGATCCTTGTATAGAAAGTTGTTATTCCCTCATTTTGTTTAATCCTTAGAACAATAAATACTTTTTTTAAAAAGACTCGTTAAGGTATTAAGGTTTAATATTCAAACAGAATGGAGAAAGCCCAGCAGGGAAGCAAGAATATGTTACTATTCTCCTCCAACCCCTCACTCACCCAGTGGTTCCACTGTATCTAAAAATATTGTATAAAATTATCATCACATACCCTTTGGTCAGGAGAAACCAAGAAATCTAGCTTGGCTGCAGGGGTTGAAGCCATCCCCTGGAGTCAATCTTGGAGCATCAATGACAAGCTTTACTTGAAGTCAATCAGTAATGAGTGCCAAAGTCTCTAAGAAAGGACCAGTGTCCAAGAAGCT